GGGCTGATTGGGGTCTCCTTTACAGAACTGCTGCTGTTTGTTGAAGCCCAGTAGGGCCCTTCTCTTGCAGTGCCACTCCCCACACCCACCCGCAGAAGCAACTATTCCTTCCTCCAGGGCTTCGCCACGAGTTTACCACACTGGAATATGCACCACTGGAAAAAATGCAGCATATAAAAAAGGCATGAGATAACTGGCCTAATGAAGTCTCAGATAAAAAGGCGTAAATAGCACAAGGGGGTTGGTTTGGGGTAAGCATCATGTGACATGCCAAGCATGGCAGTCAGGCGTGATGATGCCATTAAAAATGTCTCATGTAGATCCTCTCCTGCCCCCAGATCACCTTTTGGTTTTATATTTGTCCAAGAGAAAGGAAAGATGATAATCTTAGTGTGCTTTCATTGCAACTCCGCCCCCCCCACAGGTGCCTGGGGTCCACACTCTCTCTTTCTTCTGCATCTGGTTTCTATTGTAGTTGTAAAATGAGGACATTTTGGTGCCTGGCAGAACTAGGAAGAACTGTGTGACAACAGCTGCCTCTTCCAACTTCCAAGCCTAGAATATGGTTTGAATTATAGGCACAAGGAATGTCAGGATGTCCAGCTCTGTCCCTCTCTCTTCTTCACACTCAACAACTTCCTTCTCTTCTCCCCCATCCCCATCCCCCCACCCATTCCCAAAGAAATGAAATTTTCAGTTTAGAATTCTGTGAGCATTGCTACAAAAGGATCCTGCTGCAAAATATCAATGTGTAACTGAGTTTCACCTTCTTTCATGCAAGGCAACTGCTAATTTGTTTTGGTTTGTTGCCACAAAGAACTGCCATAAACAAATCAGAAAGATAGTACGTCCATATCTATCATGCTGATATTGCCATCTTAACCTGACCTCCCCCTAGAACTATCTAAAGAGTTAGCGAACTCAACTACTTCTGGAATTTGGCTCCCCTGAAAGAGAACTTTTTTCCATGTATACCACATTCATACAGTCAATGCATTGAGGAGCTTCGCTCTGCAGAACCCTTTCATCTCTGGGGACTTGAGGTCAAGATTGTAATTCTTGGTTACAACTAAATGAATCCCTGTTTTGTGTGTGTGTGTGTGGGGAGGGTGGCAGGAGGGTTCACCTCACAAATCCATGGCACTGTATGATAAAATAGGCCTGTTTTTTGTTTGTTAGAGTTCAAGGCTGTGGATAGAAGGAAATGGTGTATGCAAAGCAATGGAGAGGAAATTGGCTAAAGTTTTGTGGGAAGAGTCAGGCTGGAATGCCACATTATCATTCTGGGTCTAGGAATGGAGGTAAATTAAAAGGAACTTGGGTGAAGGATGGCAAAAGCAAACCCCGAGGGACTAGAATAGCAAAGATGGCCCTGGTCAAGTTGGAGGAGGACAGCCATATGGAAGGGTTAGAAGTGGCAGAGGTAAGCAAAATTGGGTGTATTTTTGCAAATCCTAGAAAGAAGCAATTCTAGTCCACCAAAAACTGTTGGAGGACTTGCAGCACTTTTGGAACTGTTTGATGACACCATCAAGCTTGCAATATACTAGAGATCTTTGAAATTGTGTAGTGAGATATTGGCTAGCCAGGAAAACAGTGGAACTTCCAGAGCTGGGATCCAGGATCATCCTCCCATTGATTGAAGGGCTGTGCTCATCAGAGGTGCTTTGATCCAACTAGGAGAGCCCCCTGCCCACTACACCCTCTGCTCACTCTATTCAGCATGGCACCCTGGCCATTTATATGGCATTTTCAGGGGTTGCATTGGGGAGGGGGCTCCATTTTGGCTAGCCCAATTGCACCAGCTCTGAACTGTGCTGAGCTGAGCGGAGTTTCTTCTTGAATAACCCCTTCCCTCAATTCCAGAAAGGAATCTTTCTGGATTACAACAGCAGAGATGTTGAAGGTTATCACCATTCATATTGCTTTCTTCTAGCATCTGGTAATCAATGGAACTATGTGCAAGTCAATAAATCTGCCCAGTTTTCACTGAACAGGGAGTGATAAAAAGGAAAATAGAAGGAGAATTTGAGAGAAGGCTCCAAGAAATAATTTGTAGATTCCACCATGTTGTCTGGCTGGTGAATGAAAGCAGCTTTCTTCACAGTGTTTGTGGGAGATTCTTTTACCCTGCTCTGCTTAAAAGTGCTGTTGACCTAAGTTGCTTCTCAAGAAAATAGTGCATAAGTGAAAATAAAGATTTTTCAGTATGAAAAGAAATCCTGCTTCCTATTGTAAACCTGTACACTGTGAAATAGCCCAGTCAGAAAAAAGGGACTTCTAACCATGTCAGATTTGTGACTGTTATTTTTCTTTTTTGAGAGCCATATTACTCAGATGACAGTTTTATGGACAGCAGAAGACAGTTGCATATAGATCCTGTCACTGCACAGAATATATTTCACCAGATTTTAAGCTCTCAATCCGTGACTATTTTATCTTCACCAGAGCTGACCTTTCCCATTTGTTTCATTCATGCCAAAAATAGGAAGCTCGTGTCTTGTCCTAAGGCTGTAGTTTATCAGAATCATGACTTGCCTAGAGGGTTTTCATTTGAGACATATTCATGCACCCAAGACTTGCGAACCAAATGAACACACTGTCCTAATTCATTGCCTGTCCCTGCCACAGGTGAGAGAAACTGTGACTTTTGGCTGGTTGGTATGAGCAACATGTGGGAGAAGTGGAAGTATGGCTCCGAAATGTCACACCACAGCATACTGCTTGGATAGAGACGCTCTCCAAGAAAACTTATACGAAAAGCCTGTGAGGTGGTAGCCTTATAAGAAAGAATCTGTAAATGTTGCTTAGATCCTCTAAATCTCAGCCTTTACTTTTCAGAGTTTCGAGTCCGAGCAAAATGGCAGGGACAATATAAAATCATAGTTGTCAATATCTTTGTTAAGGTTAATATTCACATGCATTGGTATAAATTGTCTGGAACAGTTTAGATGACTACTTCCTGCGCAATGGCATGGACTGCTCTAATATTTGTCGAATTGGCATGATATTAAACAAGTTAGGCAAGTTTACCCAATGCTGGGTGCAGCTTTTTCCCAATAAAGTGATTTGCACAAACAGTTTGACACCAGGAAGGCCACACTGTAAGCCTGTTTCAAAATAGGATCACCCTTGGGCATTCAAAAAGAATGAATAATATTGAAAATAAATATGATGTGAGTGTTACAGGCCCCTATTACACTGTAACAGTGACATCAGTTGCTAATAAAATATACTCCAATTCTTCCTTGTTCTACAATACTGCACTTTAATCTACACCTGCTCTGAAGGATATTAAAAAGAAGAGCATGTTTTCATTTAAGTGCAAAACACCTTACAATTTAATATATCAAAGCTGTTATGCATTCTTTCAAAAAAGTAATCTTATATCTATGTGTGTATGCATATGTATTCTGTATACAGAATATTCATGATACAGTGAAAATGTACGAACCAAATTATCTTCAAATAGGAACATGTTCAAACCTAATCAAATATAAAAAACTGTATCAACATTGGGAGTTTTTAGGCCACAGGCCATTTCCGTTTTCCATAGATATAGTACATCAGAGCCATCCCTTCCATTATGTAGACTGAGGCAACCATGGAAGCAGGATGTATCGCATGTGTGTGCAGGGAGTAGCTATGGCAGCCTGGTGCCCTTTCAGCTGAGCCCCTCGGCCTTTCCTCCACCATCAGAGGACAGAGCTGTGTGAACCAGATGGCCTATTTCACACCCTCTGAACTAGCCTGCTGCTTTCAGGTATAGCAGAGGGTTGCCAGTCCAGTTGGCTTGTGTATATGTGGAACAGGGAGGTCACCATCTTATCCTTTACTTTAGGCAGCAAAACATCATGGGTCAGCTGTGAGTACTTATACTAGAAAGCCCAAAGGCAGTGTGCTTCTCCAGTGTGCTTTATCTTTCAAGATAAAGATCACATTGTAAGATCAGGTCAAGCTCTATTTAGTAGTCTATTCCAGCAGAGGCCAAGAAGATGCCTCTGGGAAGCTCATCAGAAGGCTATGATGGCAACCGCCATTTCTTCCTTACCTGCAGCATGTCGTATTTAGAGCAGTGTCAGCTCCATGTTTCTGAGGTTACTTGGGGTAAGAGACCCTCCTTCCTCAGTAAGTCTATATTCTTACATCCTTCCCACCTCCACTGTTAACAGCTGCCATTGCTGCTCAGCTTCTTTTTCATCAATGCTACCACCTGCTTCCTTAAAAAGCAGAGAGGGTCATCCACTGCATCTCCTTCTCACCACTGCCATCATCTGGGTTAGCGTGAGAGGCAGGGCAGTAAGAACTCTGCAGTGACGAATAGGAGGAAGAGCAAGTGCAGGCCACTGTTGCGACTAGACCCCTATTTGAAATGAGTCCTTGGCAGGTGCATGACCATACCTGCCCTCGATTCTAGCCCTGAAGTAGAAGTTCAAATGCTTCTAAACATGGGAGCATATTGAGCCCAGCCTGGTTATAGTTAGACGGAAAAGCCATTTCAAAGTTTGTTTTCCTTGTTTCAGTGATGGGAGGATGCTGCTGGTGTGTCTCTGTTCCACTAAATTTGGAGGAGGGGATTATAATGTTTATTTAATGTATTTTTAATCACTTCTCTACTCTGGTCGCTCAAGGCAACTTATAATAAGGCCATAAAAGAAACAAGATACAACTATTAAAACTAAGAACAAGCAGATAAAAGACATACAGAGCAGGGGAAGCCTCTAAATCAAGGAATATATTCATCTCTAGAAGTGTGGCATAACTGTAGCTTTAATCAGTTGTGTAAAGGCCAGTAAGAAGTGGGGGACATGCTAATCTCCCTGGGGAGGCAATTTTCTGATCAATTAACTACTGGACTTAAGTTGATTCATATCAGTGCCTGCGTTACTTTGTTCCTCATCCTTTGCCCACTATAAGAAGAATAACCTTATGGTGCATTTGAATCTGAGGATCCACAGGAGAGCTCTCCCTGTTGCCTAAGTCTCTTTCCCTTCTGTTAGTTCCCCTAGTGCTGAAGAGCTGTGCAGAGTTCATAGAGACCCACGGAATTGTGGACGGCATCTACCGGCTTTCTGGTGTGGCATCCAACATTCAAAAACTGAGGTGAGGCATATAAAAAAGAAATGCAAAAAGAAAAGTTTGCTATTGAAGATGGATTGTGAAAGACCATGAGAACCTGTCCTGTTGTTGATTTTAAAAAGTAGCAATGTGGCTGTGGGGAATAAACTGGATATTAATTCTAGGAGTAACCTTAAAGTTGACTGTATAGGAGTTCATAACAGTGGCTACTAGTTCCAATGGCTATAAGTTACATTAGCAGCAAAGGCAGTAGGCCGATGCATACCAACGTCTGGGGAACTTGGATGGGAAGGTGCTGTTCCAGTCCTATCCAGCCTGTGGGATCCTGTAAGGCAGCGGGTTGACTGTATGAACAGAATGCTGGACTAGATGGACCACTGGTATGATCCAGCATGGCTCTTATGTTCTTATCTGATCTTTACACATCATTTTTAACATGGGTTAGTTTTTTCCATTGCATTCAATGATAGTAGTACGGGTTAGTTAAATTAGCATGTGTTGGAAAATCTTGCTTTGTGGATGAACTCTAGATCTTATTCTGAACTCATGTCCCCTGATAAATCCCATGCTTTTAAAGGTCATTTTCTTATTATTGAGAATAGAAACATTCCCATTGCCCTGGTTCATGTGCATCAGGCTATGACAGAAAGTGTTGACTTCGTGTTCCTTTCCTCATATTTTTATGGAATGGTGAGCACAAACTCAGTCTGGCATATACATTTTGCCTGCTGCAGGAAAGGGTTGTGTGGATGGCACCTACTTGAATGTGAATATGCTGATATAAATCACTGTTTCTTCCTCTCTAAACCTGTGGTGCTGCACTTAAGATGGAAGGTGCACAAGCTGGAAACACCTTGTATACACTGGAGAACAGCGCAAAATTATGTCCACTAGCAAAATTATGTCCACTACAATAGATCATCTTCATGCAAATAGCATGCAGATTATGTGAAAAAAGAATATGCAGAATCCATAAAGCCCTCAAGGTTATGATAGGTTTCCATGGTAATATTTGGTACTGAACAGGTTCCCCCTCACTGAGGCATTACATTATCAGATCTTTGCTACCCAATCAGTGTCATTTTCCCTTTTCCATTTTGTTTTTTTTTTGTCTTGCCTTTGTCTGCAACAGAAATCGAGACACAAATAGTTTCCATCTCATTCTGTTCATTAACCCCAGCATGCCTCTGTTGTTTCAGACAAGAATTTGGCTCAGATCAATGCCCGGACCTGACAAAGGAAGTTTACCTTCAGGACATTCACTGTGTGGGGTCGCTCTGCAAGTTATACTTCCGGGAGCTGCCCAACCCCCTCCTCACATATGAACTTTACAAGAAATTCACGGTGAGATGTTTTCCTCCTTGCTTCCTGCCTGGCTAGAGCTGTTATAGTTTGGATTCACTCCATTAGGATGTGTGTCTGTGAAAGAAAAAGACAGCAGGGGACAGGTGGGGTGGAGTGCATGTGAAGAGAACCATCCATCATTTTTGTCAGTTTCTACATTTCCTTGTTTGCTTACTTTTCTTCTTCATTCTTGGTTCTTTCTGCATTTCATTTGTTACTTATTGCCATGCCTTAACCTGAATCAGGTTTAAACCCTAGCCCCAAATTGCATGTGAGGGTAACAGTAAATGGGAGAATGTACAGATTTTGTAGAGATTGATTGCCTCTCATCACCTCTTGGTTTCAACTAGCTGCTCATGGAGCAGGCATTGGGAGTGAAGCATTCCTACATAGCGAGGTAACTTCCCAGCAAGCATAAGCCAATGTACCTCTTCTTTTGCAAGCTTGGCAGTGCTTAGTGCCATCTTTCATCCCATTCTGCCCCTTTCACTTGACCATAGCTGAGTGGCAGAGCACGTGTGCTGAGTGCATGAAGTTCCAGCTGCAGCCCCTGGCTTCAGTGTTTGTGGTGACATCACTGTGAATGCTCCCATGTGTGCCATGAACATGAGCCAAGTACGTCCTGCCACCTGCTTACTGGACCCTTGCCCATCTTGGCTACTCAGGAAAGCCAAGGACAGGATAGGGACCTGGATCCTGGAGGTTGTCAACGCCTCTCTAAGGGACGGCTGGGTACCTGCCCCTTTAAAGGAGGCGGTAGTCCGGCCAGTCCTAAAGAAGGCATCCCTGGATCCAGAGATGGCCGCCAATTATAGACTGGTGGGCAACATCCCGTTCTTGGGCAAGGTGTTAGAGCAGGTGGTGGCGGGACAACTCCAAGCACTCTTGGATGAAACTGATTATCTGGACCCATTTCAGTCCGGCTTCAGACCCGGGTATGGTACTGAATCTGCCTTGGTTGCCCTGTATGATGACCTGTGCAGGGAGAGAGACAGGGGGAGTGCATCCCTGTTGGTTCTCCTGGACCTCTCAGCGGCTTTCGATACCATCGACCATGGTATCCTTCTGGATAGGCTAGCGGGATTGGGGGTCGGAGGCACTGCTCTGTGGCGGTTCCGCTCCTATCTCAATGGCCGATTCCAGAAGGTGGTGCTGGGGGACTATGGCTCTGCACCATGGCAGTTATGCCATGGAGTTCCGCAGGGGTCCATTTTGTCCCCCTTGCTATTCAACATCTATATGAAACCGCTGGGAGAGGTCATCAGGAGGTGTGGGCTGCGGAATCATCAGTACGCTGATGATACCCAGCTCTACCTCTTGTTTTCAACCAATCCAGGTGAGGCAGTGGCTGTGCTGAACCGGTGCCTGGCTGAGGTAATGGGCTGGATGAAGGCCAATAAACTGAAGCTCAATCCAGACAAGATGGAGGTCTTGTTGGTAGGTGGTTTGGACTTCGGGGTGGGGGACCTGGACCTTGTCCTGAATGGGGTTGCACTCCCTCTTAGGGACAAGGTTCGCAGCTTGGGAGTGCTCCTCGACTCTGAGCTGTCATTAGAAGCTCAGGTGACGGTGGTGGCAAGGAGCGCTTTCCTTCAGCTTCGGCTGATCCATCAGCTGCGTCCCTACCTGGAGAATGATTGCCTGGCAACAGTGACACATGCACTGGTAACTTTCCGTTTAGACTTCTGTAACGTGCTCTATGTGGGGCTACCCTTGAAGACAGTCCGGATACTTCAATTGGTGCAAAACAGAGCTGCCAGGTTGCTGACAGGGACTGGGCTTTGTTCTCATATAACCCCAGTTCTCCGTCAGCTCCACTGGCTCCCCATTGAAGTCCGGACCCAATTCAAGGTGTTGGTTATCACCTATAAAGCCCTCAATGGCTTCGGACCTGGTTATCTAAAGGAACGCTTGCGTCCATATATGCCCTCCCACCCCTTGAGATCGGCAGCAGAGACCCTTCTCTGGGAACCCTCTGTGAATGATATTAGGAGGGTGAGTACCCGGAGGAGGGCCTTCTCTGCGGTGGCACCCCACCTATGAATGCACTTCCCAGAAAGGTCCACCTGGTGCCGTCGTTATTTGTTTTTCGGTGCCAGGCCAAGACCTTTTTATTTAAAAGTTATTTTAATTGTTAATTTATTAATTGTATGTATAGGGTTTTTATGTACAGGCCGAGATGTTTCCGGTTTTTTAACGCTAATTGTATAAACTGTTTATTTATGTTTATTCGTTATTGTTGTAAGGCGCCCCGAGGCTTTTTGCGGATGGAGCGGCATAAAAATGGTTTAAATAAATAAATAACTAAATAAATGAGTCTACATATCCTGAAAGCCTCTGAGAAACCAGTAAAGATCTCAAAATGCCAGATCCCAGAGCTTCAACATGTGTTTCCTTGTCACACAAATCCTCCTTTCCTTTACTATTACTACTATTACTATCACTACTATTTTCATGAGACCATATAGTAATTGAAGGTCTCAGGCCAACGTACACAAGAAAAGCAGAAGCAATAAAACTAATTAAAAGCCCACATTAAAAGCATTACTTTAAAAGAAACAACAGAACTACGCTTAAGAGTGAAATAACTGAGCAAATAAAACCAAAGAAGATGGTTTTGAAAGGCAGCAGTGCACCTATTTCATCACACCATCACTGGGAAACAAAAGATTGTGCTGACGGACTGTTTTCTTAACCCTTGTGAAAGGGATGATACTCCTCAGGCAGAACGCCAAGGGAGTTCTGTTCCAGCCTGCTGTTCCAGGTTGATTCATTTGTCTTCTGTGCCCTGTTTAAATGCTCCGACAGCGTAAGTGGGCAGAGAAGAAGAACTCTCCAGTAATGCCTGTGCCATTCAGATCGTCAGCTGGCTGGCACAGGGCTACCTAGAGGGAATGCATCTACTGGGCTTTTGTTACTCCAGGCCACAGTTGGGGCAAACTAAATGCAAACCAGCCCTAGGATAGGCATAATAGTCACTATCACGTAAAACAAGGAAACTGATTGGAGCCTGCTAGAATATTAGGCAAAGCTCCCTTAATTTGAGATTAGACGGTGTTCCTTTCTGAGCAAAGGGCACACGGCACAGGCCCACTAAATTATTTTATGGTTTATTTTTGCTATGTTGCTGTGGCCTTGTGCTTGTTCATGCACTTCTTTGTAGCTCTGTGCTTTTTGATTGATTCTAAGCCAGAAATGGACTACATACGTCCTATGGGAGGTTTGAAAACTTCCACTGTGTCCCATACCTTGGTGACATGGCCCCTAGCAGTACCATATTGCCAGATTTCCAGTCATTCTGCCTTGTTTCCTAGTAGAGGATATGGTCATGCAGTCACTTCTGGCAGCCCGACGGCCACTTCCATGGGTGGCTGCAGCAGATGAGTGTGTGTGACTTGGGGGCAGCGCAGTGTGCCCCCAGCTATCCAAAGTTCATCATCCCCTCTGCAAACAATGATTTAAAAGCTCATGAGGATTAATTGTGTTTGGGTAAGGGTGTGTCTTGAGGATGTACATGTTGAGGATTATGGTGACACAAATGGAAGACATTATAATAGACTCCCTCCCAACACACTATGCATGTTTAAAAAACTCATTTCAGTAATTGAAAGTCTGTAAAATAATAGGCACAATGGATCAATGTAATATCAAAGATTAAACCAAAAGATGCAATATATGCTGGAAACTAGAGTCTCTTTCAGTATTCTTTACTGAGAATACTAGATAAAAAATTCCATTTTAAATTCTCTTTTTTATTTTTTGCATTCTTTTTATACCATACTTCTTATTATCATTTTATCGGCAGAGGCTTCCACTGTCACTTAATCTAGCGCAAAGTGGGTGAAAGCATTACATTTCTGTGCTGCAGCTACATTCCCCACCTCCATTTATGCTGAGCTTAATGAGTCAAGGTGCAGAGCCATGGAAAATCAGGTTCAAAATTATTTTGCCATGAATGCAGAGAGCAGGTGTAGGTGGAAACTGTCCAAGCAGAAATAGCCCAACAACTTGAATGCAATGACTTCATTCTGAAGCTGGGGGCGCAGTGGGGAGGGAGCTGAGTATGGATTATGTCTGTCTTCTGAGAAGATTGGAAAAGCCATATAGATGGAACAGAAGCCCTTTTGTAAAACTCCATGCATAATTTTGCATTCCAAAATAGGGTTAGTAGTAAGTATGGTGGAAGCAAGAGGTCAGTGGCAGCTCCACAACTGAGGAGTGTATTGTCCCCTCCCCAAAGGCTCAAAGGGATTGCAGAGCTAAGAATACAGCTGGAGCTCTGCTCTATGCTCTATTTCAGAAAAGCCCAGTCACTGGGCTCACAATTCTTTCTTGGAATAAACACACCCACAATCCACATTATGAGGACTATTCCTCCCACAGGGTGAAGTCCAATACCAGCTCCTCAGTGTACTTGTGGCTTCCCTCAGGTACATCCACTTATCCACAACTGGCCAGAGGAGTGTATCAGCCTGGGGTCTCCAACATGCTGCTTGCAGGGGGCCTCTTGTGGTGGATTTTTAAGTATTTAAAAGCAAAATTAGCTGCAAGTCAGGTAAAGTGAAGTGTCACTCTCCAGCTGTGTTTTATTTGAGTTTAAAAGGGTTTGGGCAACTTATTTTAATTCTGATCTTTCCAGTTTGCCTTCTGGTGTTTGTGACGGTTTACCATGCCCACCACAGCAGCCATTTTAAGGGTGGAAAAACACCCCACCTATGCAGCCATTTGGTGTGATTGCCTACAACACTCACTCAAAATGCCAAATATTCCCCTAACCTAAAGCTGCTGGGGACCAACCTCTGGTGTTAAGCTATCCCATTCACTACGATAATCTGGAGTCCATTTCATCTCATCTCACAGCTCTTGCTGCTGTTCCGTTAACCAGGTGTTAAAGGATTTTCTTTCACTATTGATTTCCCAACATTATAACTATTGTTTTCAAAACTGCCCTAAATTTCCAAAGTGCTGAACATGAATTAGAAACAACTGCTCACAATCTCCTACCAGTTGTTCAGGGCCACAGCCACCTTCCCTTGAATCTGCAGAGTTTGTTTTTATCTTCCCCACCCATGTAGCCTTTGTAGCACATTCAGTCCCCAGACCATGGCTGTTCTTGGTCAGCCAATGCTTCATCATCCTGTCATTCTCTCTGTAGAATGGGATTAATCATAAGGATCTATCTCACCATGTTCTTGTGAGAGGAATGTGGATTGCTAGGCACCAAAAATTATCAATACTGAAGGCCATATGTGGGAAGCAGAATGAACAACCTTTCTGAATGTTATAATTACATTCCTAAGGTGCTCATTAGTATACCTATTTACAGTCATACACTGTACAAATCATAGTAGCTATATACAGGAACCTCATTATGATATTTAATATTTAATACACCCTCACTTGCTGCTGCCCTGCATCCCAACACTTTATACAAGAGCTATTGAAAATACAGGTGATTGTGCCAGTGTTTATGTTTTGCAATGCTGGGTTGAATCCACAATTTATCTAGTCGTCCCATTCATTTAGTGGGTCTACTTTTAAGTAAGACTAGCATTGTCTTTATTTACATTTGGGTTGTGATTTTTCTACCTTTTTGGATCTAATTTTAACAAGCATATGAGGTTTTGAAAATGAATGGAAGAAAGCTGTGGTTAATGCTATAAACAAAAAATATTTTTGCAAGTAACAGCCTATTCTTGGGCAGTTTATTCATTCATATGAGGGGTTCAGTGTGAGCTTCAATTAAGCAAGCATTGTCTTCATTCATTATTTAATTCATACTAGACAGGGTGAATCATTGATCTGATTGTGTGAAAGCAGAATTCCCTACTACTGTGTTGTAAGGAAAGTGCTAATGTGCTACAATAAATTGAATAGCAATCCCTAAGTATCCACCTATAGCAGCATGGAGACAAATCATTCCAAATAACTATATGAGTCATATAGGACTGACCTCTAATCAACACCAGCACAAAGAATGAGAATTATATGTCCATAGAACGTTCTGCTTTGCAAATGAGTGCATGAGTTCTTGGGGTGGATGCAGATATAATTGTATACAGGCTACCATGATGTCCATTTCTGAGGGTGCAGCTCAGGACCAATTGGTCCTCAAAGTCTTTTCCAGCTCTACACCTGTTTGATTCTCTGTTGTCCCTCTCCCTGAAGGAGGCAGTGTCGTGCTTCCCGGAGGAAGAGCAGTTGGCCCAAATTCAGAATGCCATCCAGGAACTTCCACCATCTCATTACAGGTAAAATAAAAACCTGGCTTCTGAGACGTCGGGACAGTCTCAGTGAATAAGTGAATATTATGGGTGGCAGGGAAATATTATCAGTATTGCAAGAATCACTTATGGATTGAAGGTTTTGAAGTCGGTTTCTGATCCCTTTCTTTACTTCCATTATGGAAGGTACTGCTTTACTTCAGGATAAAATGATGTTCCTTAAAACCACACAGTCTTCTACCTGAAGTTTGTAGAATGGACTTGGCCAGTGGTGCACAAGATCAGTGCAATGCATTTTCCCATAAAAACACTGTCTTATGTTTCAGAGTTCCTGTGAATTAGTGGCACTTTGCTCCTCAGGACTTCATCACATCCCCTTCCAAAATGCACTAAAGATACAGGGGTCCTTTTCTGTTGTTAATTAAAAGGGTTTGTGTCATTCTCAGCAGGTTTGTCTGCATAAAACGCTACAGTGGTTTCTAGCTCTGGCAGCTGACACATGTCCCATGTGTGGGTTTCTAAGGAGTTCAGAGAAGGGTTTCCAAAAGTTCTGGACAGATTTCCTTTGTTTCTTCCCCATTCCTCTCTGTCAAACATGTGATGGAATTGAAGGAGTTGAGAGATGTGAGATGTGGGTTTGGGAGTCCAACTAAGCAGGGAGCTCATGAGCATTAGAAGTTCATGGGCAGTTGGGCTGGCTGGCGGGAGGAGAAACATGGGCAGAGGCAGGAAAAAGGTGTTGGTGGTTGGTAGAGATTGTAGATCTTGGCTTGTTCAAGGTGCTTAATGCGACACTTGTGAACTTTGGCCATCCTTCTTCTCTCAGCACAACCAGGAGTGTATGGTATGATTACAGGCATATGGTTAGTGAAAGATTTGAAAAAACGAAATCATAAGCACACACAAACGTTTGATCTTAATCAACCATTGCAGGACCCTGGAATACCTGAGCAAGCACCTGACACTTCTAGCATCCCTCAGCAACATGACCAACATGCACACCAGGAACCTGGCTTTAGTGTGGGCACCCAATCTCCTCAGGTATGATGGAAACTCCTGCTGTTTCATTTCGCCATGGAGACAATCCAGAAAGGGGATGCATGAAGATTTAAGAACAGATGAGACGATCCAGCTAAGGAGAAGGAACTCCAATAAGTCTGGGGGAGCTCAGCTCTTGGGAGGAGAATTTTAGCAGTCTTTGGGAGGTGAATATTAGCATACCCACTGGTAAGTAGCAGGTCAATGGAAAGTCACCCCAGCATTGGAGCTCAATAAATCCCAATATAGATCCCAAGGGCATCTATACATGGAGAGATTCCACTACTCCTTTGTTTTAAAAGTCAGACTTTCTGTGGACTGAGTAGAAATGGAAGAACTACAGAGCAAATGCAGGATGACAAGGATTGGATAATGGTATCATGTGGATGCCTGGAACCAATATTGGGCACATTTGACAGAGTGTTTCTCTATACGACAACCCATTTAATGAATGCAGTAGCAGAGGCACAGTTGCACAAATCATATTTGCTTAAATTCTGTGGAAGCAGAGTTCCTAGTATGCAGGATGCAATAAGGGTATTTGGCTCTTGGCAGAGTCACCCCAAACAAACTTCTTCAATGTTACTACTGTGGATGAGACAGAGTTAGTCCTATGATAGCAAGAGATGTTAGAGCTGCTAAATATACTCTGCTCCAAATCTTTAATTCCATCTACTGTCCATTTTTGGTGGAAATGTGATTCTCATTACAAATCTGGATTCTAAGGAGAACATGAAAGACCAGGAGGTGCTGCTGCAGTTTCCTTACATGGCTATCCTATTGGCAAAGTTCCCTTTGAGTTTATCTAACCCTCCAGCCATTAACTTTACAAAGGATTTGCTGCCCAGAGATAATTTCTTCAGTAACACTTTGCCGTGTCAAGATAAGAACCAGTTTATCTACTCCTTCTTTGGGTATGGGGTTGGGGTGGGAAGAGAGATTGGTTTGGTGGTACCATTGAAAGGATAGGGAACAAGCAGCACAAAGTTCTTTTTAATAATAAAAAGAGCAAGCATAAACCCACAGCATTCATCAAGATGAGATGTGATGTTCTCATTTGATGCTTTACCTTCCAGACCCACTTGATGTTGTTTTGATGTGATGTTCCTGCACACAGATAAGCTAAATCCTGTGGATCAACTTAAGCTTCAGCAGCCCCAGCTGTAACTAGCACTGCATTTAGTCTAGAAAGTACAACTGCTTGCCAGGAAACTCCTTAGGAAGGCACATTCTTTATTCCTGCGTTTATTTACATATTTATTTATTTTCACATTTGCTCTGCTTAACACATTAAAATCCCTAAGTTATGCTGGCTGCGGAGGCCTACAGCTCCTGCCCCCCTCCCCGTTCTGTCTTCCATATCTTGAAAAGTCCCTCGTGCCAACCACAAGTTTACTGGCAAATTTTGTAGTGTATAAAAATGCATGCATTTAAAAATGCATGCAGTGGATGTGCACATCTGGAAAATATGCACAGTTTTCATACAAACAAGAAATAAAGCTTGCAATCTGTTATGTTCAGAAGTATTAACAAGCTTTGGGGTATAAATGGCAGACCAACTTGAATTTTGCTACTTGACATATTCCTATCCCAGCTGATGTTCTTTGCCTTTGTTCCCTGCCCCCCTCCACTGAATACAAAGACATCTTTGAGGCCTAATTTGCCCTGAGAAAGAGTGACTGGCCAAGATCACACAGTGGGGTTCTTGGATGAGCAAAGATGTGAATGTGGGTCTCCCTGTTCCTAGTCTAATACTTGGACCTCTCTACCACATTGATTCTCTTTTTGGTGGTCCCCTAGGGATAGAAAGATGACATAGAAATACTTTGACAAGCAATCAAATACCGAACAATTTGATTCAGGCCAGTGAAAGGAATGGTGTGTTGCCTCTGATTTCCATGTAATGTGGATTATTCCTGTGCGCTCCTTTAGCTTTGGATTTCAGAGATATACACCTTCCCCAGAATGCCCAGAGCAAGCTATTATATGTGAGCCTAGCTTGTGTACTCTCTATTTTGTGTGAAACAGAGCCGAAGGTCTACCTTGGTTTTGTGTTGTTCCGTTGCTTTTCCAACCTGCTTCTCTTACTGTGGTGCAGGTCAAAGGAGATTGAGGCTGTGGGCTGCAATGGAGATGCAGCTTTCCTGGAGGTGCGAGTTCAGCAGTTGGTGATTGAGTTTATACTGAATCATGTAGAGGAAATCTTCAATGACAGTGGCTGTGCCAGGCCAAAGGAGAATGAGGGTGAGTCCTTCAAAACCACTTCTTCCATACCAGCAGTAATCCTATCCAGATTTCATTGACAAGTGAGCTAGATCTTACTGTCAGACCTATTCTACATGGTATTTAATTGTTCTCAGCCTCAAATTCCAACTGCATATGAGAAGAAAATGGAAGAAGAACATGTGGATGAGCTACATCCGGGATAGAGTACTGTTCCAGCCCTGAGGACCACATTACCTTCTCACTCACCTCCCTGGAGCCCGGATCACATTGGTCTCCTTAATCCCTAAGTCCCTCCTCCTCCTCCTCCTCAAAGTCTTCTTCCAGGTGTCATAGAGAGAGAAATTTAATTGTTGTATAGCACAGAAAAACAACTCACCCCCTTTGCATTAGAGAAAAGTTGCCCTTTCTGTAAACCTGTGTAGATATTTCCAATCAGCAACTAGAGATTGCAGCATTTCCTTTACCAATACTAGAAAGGGGCTGCCTTTCCTTAGCACTGGGCGAGGAGGCAGGGCCTTGGAAGGAGCCTCCACAGGACAGATGCAAGTCTCTGTGCACTGGCTTTGGCCCTCGACTGGAGGTTTCCCACCAATGACTATTTCAGTGAAAACCCCACATCTTGAGATGGTAACCAGTCCCATCTGTAGCCTAACTATTGATGATGGAAAGCCCCATTCTCACCCTACCATCGCAGCTCATAATTGGCTCAGCCCTCTGAGCTTTCTTGGGTCATTGTCAGAGAAAACTCAAAAGCATTTTTGAAAGTTTGTCTAAGATCAGACAGACCCAGTGTGCAGAACTTCTCAGTCTTTGTCAGGAAGAAATAAAAAGTTACAATTTCCAGAGTCCCCCTTGGCAATGAGGGCTCTGAGAAGGCTCCAACGCCTTCACTGCAGACAGGAACCTATGCAATGTAGGACAAAGCTCCCACTTTCCCATTTCCCTCTGCTATTGGGTCTCCCTCCTGCTGCCTTTGCAAGTGGATAGTTTCAGAAAGCAGAGATAGGGAAGCCAACAGCATAGAAAACTGGCTGGCTCAGAGGGTTTCTTTGCTTCTGTCGTAATGGCTTGCAGATTCCAGAGCACTGCCCTCATCACTAGCCTGACCCATGCTGAGGTAGCACCTTGCCACCCAAAACATTTGGCATGTAGACCAAGCCCAGAGGTGCTGCATTAAGAATTTGATAGATGTCAGAAGTATGCTTGACCATTAGCATCATGCTGGAAAATTGGCTTGGTAGTGGTTTTTTGTGTAATGGCAACATTAAAAAGAAGAGGAAGAGGAAGAAGAAAAAGAAAAAAAAAAGACAAAGAAAAGACAGTACTTGCTTATGTCTTATGGTTATAATGCAGAGACTCTTTTAAAGTGTTCAATGTAGCGACTATTATTATACTTATTCAGGTGGGGTGAATTCCTCCAGTTGCCCCAAAGCAAAAGCTGTTGTGCTGTCCTAAGAAATCTATGTGATAAGCTTGTCCATACAGAGGCTTTACGATGGATTATTACTGTAAATAACTTACATTACTTATTACTTTGTCCAGAAAGTTTTGGGTGATAAAAATAAAATAATAAAGATGATGATGTTTACCACCAGGAGTCATTTAAAATGGTTTCCATGAGCTGGTCATAACATTTGCAATAGCCTGTACATGTATATGTTATTTTAAAATTTAAATACATGGCATCTGATAGTGTTATCTTTGAGATAATCTAAGATGGGCTTGGCCAGGTGCATTTTGAAGTCTTCTGCGATGGTTTGTTTCCCCTAATCCTTTCACTACAAAGGAAATTTTTAGAAAAGTTTGCTTTGTGGTCTTTTATTTCCCATTTATCAATGACTGCAGTCATTAGTGAACAGAACTGCCAATTGCCATGGCTGAAACAGGAAAAGTCCTCTTTAATCATCAGGACTTTCTGGAGTTTGAGAGCTGGCATTTCAATACTTCCTGCTAACAACAGCAGCCACTGATAAATAGGAAAAGGAATGTCTGTTTTCAGAACAAACTCCCTGAAATCATCGGGTTAGGAAGAGAATGTTGATTCATCTAAAATACCAGAACTGGAAGTGAGCCTTTCCAAAAGTTCAGTCCAGCAGAGATTCTTAGGCCTCCTCTTTAGAAGACGAATGCTGGTGAATTTTGGGGAATGGCTGGTGACCAGGAACCTGCTGGGGTAGAAAGCAGGGCAATGGATCAAGCTGCTGGGAGAGAAGAGAATCCAACAATAAGCCTACTCTCAAACATTATTTTAACTGGCAGTGGTTAGTGATGAAAGGAAACAGTGGAGAGACCTTCTGAGAACCCCCCCCCCCCACAGCATCTCTAAGCCCTGCCTCTAACTAGGAAGGAGGAATTTGTAATCAAGTGGGCTGCAATCTGTAACTCCTTTCCCCCTATCCACCTCCTACATTTCAGAGAATAAGCCTGCTGTGAAGAGCCTGACTCTGCCCTCCACCTCTCTGCCAATGAAACTGGTGAGCCTGGAAGAGGCTCAGGCCCGAAGCCTCTCAGCCTGCCACCCTGCCCGGAAAGAACGAAGGGAGAACAGCTTGCCAGAAATTGTTCCAGTCACAGGCTCCTTCTATCATACTGTCCTTGACCTTCCTGACAGCAAGTAAGTGGTCCTGTTCTTTCGTCAGAAAGGTGACCATGAAAAGACAGCTGGGCCTCCATGTCAGCATGTGACATCCTTGGGCAACTGGCAAGAGCTCACCACTGCCCAGGGCTTCCTCTTACAGGCTGGGAGGCCATAGTGTGGGTACTTACACTGGCAAACATCCAGAACTCATGAGGGTGATACCATTTCTGCATCAGCACCCACTCATGTCTTTCAGTAAGCTTGGCAAAATATCTGGGGATGAGGGCCCAGTGGAATTTGGGGGCATTTTTGAGGGGGCAGATTGTGTAGATAGATGGGCTTCTTTGCCATTGCCTGCCTACCCTGTGGTATAAGGCATGTGACATTTCACCACTTCTGAGAGAAGGCCAATTACTCATTACCACTAACAACTGCAATGTCTGGCTAGCTTTCTCCATGCCATAAGAACAGGCCATAGCTCTTTCTCACCAAAGATTGCTTCCTGGGCTGGCAGCAGCACTTCAAGAAGCCTCTTTCCTGTTGCTTGAAATCATTAATAGGTGGAGATGACAGGGCGCCACCATCTTCACATTATACTGATACCTTCCCTTTCTTCCTCTTGCAAAGAACCCCCAGCAGCTTGCATGTTTCTTCTCCTCTCCCTGTTATCCTCACAGCAAACACCCCTGTGGGATAGATTAGGCAGAGGGGTAGAGAATGGCCTCATGACTTGTTAAGGACTAGAGCCCAGACCTCTGAGTCGCACTCCCACACTCTTAATGACTACGCTGCACTGGCATGCAAAGCTGTAGTCCCTGTCTGGTGCAGGCCTCTTACTATTCAAGCAAACAGACGGATGTAACCTTGTTCTGAGGAATTGCTTTTATAGCTTTGCTTCATTTAGAATTCGTGATCAGCGTGAGCTGAATGCTAAACACAGGTCTTGGACATGTGTTAGAAGAGAGCCACCTGCTGGTAACCTGTCCCAACCGCATGTGTGACATCCATCTCTGATTTTATGGTAGGAGCATAGAATAGTAGAGTTGGAAGGGGCCATGAAGGCCTTTGGGTTTAACCCTCGCCTGTTGCAGGACACCAAGTTATACCATCCCACTCAGATGGCTCACAAGCACTCATGTAAGTGAACGGTGGTAGAGAGGCTGACCCGTCTTTCCTGGGCCACAACACAAGGACCATTGCAAGATGGCGGAAACAATAATGTGAGGATCATGTAATGCAGGTTCAATGGAGTTTTCAGCATTGCTTTATACTTAAATGTCTATGACATTCAATCAGATCTGTGCAACATAATGAATTATAGTCACTGCTTTGCAACTTCTTTATATGACTGTGGCAATAAACTCCTGTATCAAAAGAAGCATGACATGAATGAAAGACTGTGTTCAACACACTGCAGATGCTTCAAGTCAGCTGTTACTTCACCCATGAATTCACTGAATGGTTTGGCCACTGTGCGCATGCGCGTGCGCGCTCACACACAGGGTACAAGCTATTTACATATTATTGGTAAAGATTGGAATATAATAGACTGCCTTCTTATGCCCAGCTTTGCTTATTCCAGGCATGGGCAATACTGTGCTCGTGTGCCCATGTAAAGACAAAGATCTTTTTCATAGCAGCATCCAGGACTGTTCTGAAATAAGTTTCTGGTGGTGGTGGATTCAGAAGAGCTGTTCAGTGGATTGAGTTTCAGACTGTACCTTTGCCTTTTGTTCATCCCTTTGTGTAGGTGACTTGTCCTTTGCCACAACTCTTATGACAACTGGTATTTAGGACAGATTGTCAAATTTTCCCATTGCCTAAAATATTTGTCTATCCTGGATCAATTCTGCCTGGTAGAGACTCCAGAATCTCGGACAGAAGTCTTGACATTATTACTGCCTAGCATTAAATCAAACAAACTGGAGTTGCTGGGGATTGAACCTGGATTTCTGTGTGCAGTATGTGTCACCTCTGCACTATGATCTTTCATCACAACATTGGCATATTCCACTGACTGCTCATGCTCTGGAAAATGAGGCTGAACCACTGTTTATTCAAATTCAGCGGAATACATGCTCAGTTTGCATGCTTTCTGTGCTATTAAAGCACTTTGGACATTAAAAAAAATAGCAGTGCATGAAATACGCCTTGCCTTCAGCCTCATTTCCTCAGTGATCATGTGCAAATAATAGTTTTGATGCTTATTTTAGCTGCTTCACATATATAATCACAGTAAAATGCCTGGATAACGGATGACCCACCAAGCTGAATACAGCCACCCGGAATGAAGTTCTGTTGTAGTAGCCCCAGCTGGCAGGCCCAAGGGGGTGGGGTGCATGCCTGCATCCCTGTTTTGACACTCTAGCTTTTAACCACTCTGAAAGGTAAAACCAGATGTTTTGAAAACTCGAAGCCTGGAACTAAAATAAATTATGGATGCTATTAGTGTTGCAGTGAATTTCCATGGAATCCATCCCTCTGGCATTTTCAGTCTTCCTCTCATGCTCAGCCCTGTCTTAGGAAGTGAGCCAAGCTGAAAGTAAGTCCACAAATCCTTGCAGAGTGAAAGTTGTGCGACCGGCAACCTTGTTTTGAATGCGTGCAGCACAACCAAAGTGTGGAAGAGGGAAGCTGCTTGTCCAGGCTTCTCAGGGAGCTCAGTTCCTGGCAACCTTCACCCAAATGCTGGGTGTGCTCACCAGGAATTCAGTCTCACAAAGTGGACCAGTGTCTGTGGAGATGAGCCCTAAGAATCCAGTGAATTCCTATTCCCAAAATGGAGTCCTCACAACTCCCTTCTGATATTCAAATACATGTAGCCATTTCTGTTGGCAAAGGCTCCTATATGATTCCCGATGGTGTGACACATTCCCTGTAATAGTAAAAATTTTAAATGTGCCTAGTTCCCAATGAGAATAGTAGGGCCATTTGGAACATACCCTTTCCCATAGATCTGAAAGGCTCCAGACCTCAGGCTTTCAAAAAAAGAAAACAAAAAACATCCCACCCTCCCACCCTAAACACACACAGAAGTGCAACACAGGCAAGAGAGATGCTGTGATGCTATTAGTGAGTGGTTCTGACCAGATGCAGGGTGCTCAGCACACACACACAGACACCCTTAAGGAACAGGTTTGTAGCACGGGAGTCTTCCTGGAGCTGTCTGAGGCTCAGACGTCCTCAGTGACATGCTCCAGCTGTGCTGTTATCTGGACTGGGATAACCTGGTTTCAGTAATCTATGAGCTGATAACCTTCAAATTAGAGTATTGCAAGGCATCCTACCTGGAGCAGCCCTTGAATATTGTTCAGAGGCTGCACCTTGTACAAAATGCAGCAGCCAGATTAATAACTGGGAGCAAAAGTTCTGAACATATGGTGCCAGTTCTAGCTCACTTGCACTGGCTGCCTGTATGCTTCCAAAGCTGATTGAACTTGTATGGGTTGTTTTAATGTATAAGACCTTACACTGCTTTGGACCAGAGAACCTGGTAGAACACCTCTCCTGGCCTGAGTTTATCAGGACACTACAATCAACATCTGGAGCTTTCCTCCAAGTGCTTCCTTTGAGGGAAACTGGGAAGGTGGAAACAAGGGAGAAGGCCTTCTCAGCCGTGGCCCATTGCTATTGAGGCCCACCTAGTGCCAATGCTTTTTGGTGCTAGGTTAAGACTGCCCTCTACTTCCAGGCATTTAATCATATTTGATGGCATTTGATGGAAGCATTTATGTCAGCTGCATTTTTAAATACTTCTAATATTTTTACTGAAATTGTGTTAAGTGCTTACATTGTTTTATTTTTTGTATTAAAATTTATTGCTTTGAAATTTGTGAGGTAGATAGATATTTTGCAACAGAAAGGATTTTTGAAAAAGCAGTAGATTAAAAATGGGCAGCAAAGAAGGTAGATGAGAGAGTCTCACTTTTACAATCAAGCATTGCTACTCTTTAGCAATATCTTATCCATTTTCTCTTTCAGAAGAAAATTATCCACCAAATCCAAGAAATGGAAATCAATCTTCAACTTGGGACGGTCTGGATCAGAAGCAAAGACTAAACTGAGCAGAAATGGAAGTGTGTTTGTACGGGGGCAGAAACTCTCTGGTAAGGACTATTGGTGACCTTTATTGATGGGACTCATCATTTCTTCCTGATCTCAGCCTTGTTGCTCCCCCTTTTGTAGCCTAGAAATGTTCCAGAGTGCTGCAAAAGACCATTCATGCCAAAAAAAAAAATTGCAAGGACATAAAGATGGCCTGAAAGACATTTGATGGGAGCAATGGGGAGAGCACATACTTGACCTCTTGCATCATGTGAAACATCACCCTAGTAGGACAATGGAAGGCAGTCATAGCCCAAAGTGGCCTGCTGTGAATATTTCCCATTATAATACTGGGGTGAACATACATTGTCTGTGCTAGCTTGATACAAGCACATGCAGAGGTCAACTATGTCCACCAGAGAGCATTTGCTAAGGATATATCTGTACAAATCAAGTCAGGAAATTTATCAAGGAGATTCAGAAACATATGCCAGGAAAGGATGGTGTAGGCCACTGGTGTAGTGCTAAATTCTGAACCAGGACCAGGTCTTTTGTGATACATTCAGGTATTAAATGCCCATTCAAGATTGGACCACTGCAAAAGACTTTACATTATAACAGGGAATAATATATTATTGCTGGGAAAATCTGGTCCCCCGCCCCCCCCCAAGCTACTATGAGAATTACAGCGAATATCAGAGTGAATTCTGAGGAAACGTGTGGGCAGGGGCAGGTGAAGTCTGCATGCCTGCTAATAAAAAGTGTCGGAGCTGCATCCTTGGAAGTCCTGCTTACATTACACCACTGGCAGAGTCTCCACTGCATCTTGATTTGTTTCTGATTAGAGTTCCACTTGTGGGAAAATTGGTATCACATTAAAGAGGCATCAGCTCCCCTGTGACGTTCATTGCAGCAACAAAAATGAGGTGGAACCAACATCCACAGCAGCTATAAAGTGTCTCTGAGCAGGTACAGATAAGTGTCCTGAATTAGCAACAAATATCCAAACAGTTATCATGGATATTTCACAGTGAATTTTACAGAATGGAAATGAAGTGAAAATCCAGCTTTTAGGATAACAGCCCAGCATAATGCCTAGTAAGAAGAATGTGAACATTTTAAATTGATAACAATGCATACAAATGCTAATTTGTAAATTAGTACTTTGGAAAACCCTGTGTAAAATTGCATCCCCATTTCAGTGGATTAACACACTGAACATGGGATCTGAAAAATAATAGGAAAGAATTTGCCCCTCCATGATCTGAACATGCTTAGTTCCCCACCACAAAGGAGAATGGAGAATAAAACCTTTTATGCATTGCAGCTGCACTTGGGAGACCTAGTTTCCATGCAAATACACTTTGTTTGCAGTTACAATTCACTTTTTCGAAACTCCACAGCATGAAAGTGAACTTGTTACATTTTTTCTTCCTACAGAAAAAGCTACCATTCGGCCAGCTAAAAGCATGGACTCTCTTTGTTCACTTCCAGTAGAAGGTGAGAGTTGGGTTAGTGTATACCAAACATTTCATGGGAAAAGGAATTGCACGTGTATGTCAAATGTCTACACTGGTGGTGGTGGTGGCTGCCTCTGTGAGGTGTGTGTGTGTGTGTGTGTGTGTGTGTGTGTGTGTGACAGGGATGAAACCTCTTCCACTCAGGGTTCAGATGCCATTTTGCAGAAGCTCTCCGGGTCACATTCCAAGAGTGGGTGAGGTCAAAGGGACAGGACCACATTAGATCTGGATTAGGATTCCACACTTGAGGTTCTGCACCCTGATTAGATTGCCATTCAGGCAGACATTCCTGTTCATATTAATAGTATCATTTATTTGCCCCAGAGAGTTTTGTGTATCTGAAAAAATATGTTCATAGAATGAAAGAATTGGATTGTTTTGTTTAATCCCAGTTCAAAGATACTGCTGGACCAACCACTTGCTTCCCCTTCCACTCATCCTCCTCATCACATTGACAGTGTGCAGAGCTAGGAGTTGACCATGACTCAAGCAGGACAGCCAAGATGGCTGCTGATCAGGCAAAATGTGCATATTCCCCAAATCCAATGCAGGGACTGAACCAGATGAAAATTCCTTCATTTTAACCCACAGTGTGATAAATCCAAAGTTTCTGAAAGAAGGCCATTTCCTGTTAAGAAATTACTTCCACAGGTTAATATTTCACCTGCATCAGTCATAGCAATAAAAATCCTCATTATTACATATTAGATAGAATGAAGTAGTAATGACCCCAAGAATATTCTTCTCTCTCTCTCTCTCTCTCTCTCTCTCTCTCTCTCTCTCTCTCTCTCTCTCTCTCTCTGTGTGTGTGTGTGTGTGTGCGCGTGTG